CGAAAAACATTACAATCGAGATAGAGAGAGAGAGAGAGAGAGAGAGAGAGAGACACTGAAATAGACTACATCTGACACAGGTAATACTGAGTTCAATGTTTTGGCCTCTTATATCAATGGCTGTAGAATGAAAAATGTGACACAACCAATGCTTCATTTCAAAATACCATGATTTCTTTCTTCTTTTTTGCCACAATGCATTTTAGGTCGTTTCGGACCCACTAAAAATATTTTATATTTATTCATTTTTTATTAATCATAGTGTGCATTATTTTAAAGAAAATATTTATTTTTATTATTAAAAATAATTACAATTATTTAATAATTTTCTAATTAATTTTAATTTTGATAATTTTCTGTCCCAAAGTTCAGATGAGCGAATGTCATTTTCACTTGATTGAATTTCCTGAAATATATTTAATGTATTACAGTACAATATGATTAATACATATGGCCCAAAACAACATTTTGTCACACTTGCCAAAGATGAGTGAAAAATAGGAGAAAAAGTACCTGCCACAAACATTTCTCACTGGCCATGTATTATTTAAACATTATTTTTTTTTTGGTTTCATGTGAGAAATATTCCACGTGTGTTGCCACATGGTGTTCTGGAGAAAAAAAACACTTCTGGTATCAGATAAACTTCTCTGGTAAAAGTTGTTACAAGTCATGAGTTGTGACAGATGTTTTCTTTTTGGCAATCTGTATGAAATTGATTTGAGTCACAAGTTATAACAGCAAGAGTCAGTTCAAACATGACTGAACATGCTGAGTGTTCAGTTTGAAATATTAATTAGTAGAAGGCGTGGCCTCATCCTCTGACAGGTGGTTTTTCAGCCATTAAGAAGCATAGTTTGACAATGAACCACACGGCAAATTGTTGTCTTGCACACATGCAAATTGTAAGAATGTACATGACACTTTAAGAGCAATCTAACACAGAGAGAAAGTGTCAGATGCCTAACGAGCTGTTTTTAATTGGAGAGGCCAGATGAAGTTAATCTTCTTGCTCTCAAACTGTGTTAGTGGCTACAGCCAGATTATCATGATTAATCTCATTCAGGCTCTGTACAGATTATACAGGCTGATTCTCAAACACATGGGACCAGGGACAGCATGGATGACAGGCTCGCTCCTGTATCATATCTCTGGATGAGCCTGTGTCCATCTGTGTGTGTGTGTGTGTGTATGGTCTCGTTTGTGTATCCAAGTACAGACCAAATGTTTCCTCAGTGATGGTAAAACCTAAAAAACTACCATCTCTGGACCTACAGTCAAACCAGAAATTATTCAGACACCAGACATAATTTTTAATATTTTTTACTAGTGGGTGCAGGACACTATAGTTCATAAATGCAAGTGAGGATAGCAAAATAAAGTGAACTGTGACATATTATACCCAAAAATTCTTCATACAGTGGACTACCAGTAAAATTTGGGATCAAAAATTATTCAGACACTTTGACCTGACCATGTTTTGCTTAAGTGTTTTTTTTACTTTTTACATCACAGACTGAACAAAATCAAGCATTGCTTGGAAATCGGTTGACCTAACTTGATATTATCTAATTGTGTACTTAAATTTAACAGCTGAATAATTTTTGGTTGATTGTAATCCATTACATACCTTTCAATAAAAGTTATCTGACATTATCAAGATGAATTTGTTCTGACACAGTTTAATTCTGAGTTCTTGTCATATTTTATTACCATTTTCTAAACTATAGCGAATAAACTGTGATATAATGTGAGAAATGTTGAAGGTGTCTGAATAAATTTTGGTTTGACTGTACATCACACAGCTGCATTTGAGAAACGTATTATTTGTAGAGCTGTCAAAGTTAATGCATGCAATTTATTAAATACGTTTTGTGCTTAACATTTATTGAATTTGATATTATAACTGTTTCATTCATTTTCAACAAATTCGCCAGCAAAACGTCACCAATTAGTGAAACAACATCATTCACTGAAATATTAATGCAAACACCAGAGGAGGACTGCAGACTAGTGGCTGAAATGTCTTTACATAATTAAGATTACATCCATAAAGTGTGGGATAAGTTATTTTATCATTGAATTATTGGACATTATAGAATAACTGCAATTATGCAAATTTGGGAGGTGCCCACTTGATATAAAATGTTAATGTGTGTGTGACCCTTACGTGAGTGCCTGGGAGTAGTTGTAATAGGGAGTGACACCCAGAAATTTCTGAAGCTCGTCCATCATTTTAGCTGGGTCATTCCTCAGCTGCTGTCCATCAATAATCATCAGCTACAGGAAAAGAGAGAGAGAGACAGACAGGAAGTACACGATTCAGAAAATGTACTGTAAAAATACTGAAATCAGCAAGAGTTGGTCCAGATTGGCTACCTGGTTTGGAGGGTAGTATATGAGCCATCTCTCCAGGTGTGTGGCGTAGAGTCCAGGTACGAGACAGCGGTTCTGGAGAGAGCGCAGCTCAGGTGGAGCGAGCTGGTCTGCTGAAATAACCTCGTAGAAACTGAACTGTAATGCTGCCGGGTCTTCATGAGCCCTCTGATGCTGCCAGTGAAATTAAAACTATTTTACAAACAAAAACCAACTGCACAGTGATTGAAATATTATTATAAATGATTATAAAACAAGCTCAACTCCACATGTATTATTTGTTAAGTAGCCATGTAATAAGCAAGATAATGTACAGGGCTGCAATTGTATTTAATCTGGAATAATGTTCTTTTAATACATTAGATGAGATCAAAAAATCTTTCTTTTCATGTTCTTGTGGTGTGCGGTAGCAGCTTCATGCTGTGCCCTCCTGTGCATGCCGTTGATGAGATTTCTGCCTCACACAAACTTGCGTTTACACCCAGTGATGTTCTCACTCACACTTACACATATTCAATCTCTCCACAGTATCACACATGAACATGTGCACGCTTGCTTCCTACGGAAATCCACCAAGCACACCGACACGCATACACAAAATACATTTGTGATTTCATGTATTTAAGCTGTGTATATACTACTTTGCACTAAAACAGTGAAAATGTGTAGTAAAGGTGTAAGAAAATATCAAACACACTGCCCTCTATAGGTCAGAAAGGGTAATGTGTATCTGTACAGTTATATTTTGAGCTCCCTTCAGATGCTAAATTTATTTATTTATTTTTTTTTTTTGGCTCTATGGATGAATTTGTACTGCCTTTTTATTTAAAATTCAAACTAGCCAGCTCTCCTAAAGTCAAGTCTCCTAAAGTAAACATGCACATTACTTTCTGATTTAGCTTCATATTTTTGAATATTATTATGAAAATAACAAATTTATAAAAACACAAATATAACAATATGAATATAAGACATGGGTGTGTTTTTTTGTTCCTTTATAGAATAATAAATACCTCTTGTTTATTTTTTGGCATTTATTAAGCTGCATTTGAGTAATTCTGCACAGCATATTCATTCTCATTCTCATATAGCTGTTACATTAAAGTTTTATGTATTCTGATGTATTTGTTTGATAGCTTGACTTTTCACAACTGCCACTGCAGCAGCTTTGCAAAGAAATCAGAATGATCTTTGTCTGGATATGTATGATATAAGTGACTACTCCACTCAAAATAGCTATTTTCTATTTTAATCTTTTATTCATACAGTATACTAGCAAGCTGATTTGGTGCTCATGTAAAATTTGCAAGTATATATTTTTTCTTAGTATACTTTTTTTTCTTAAAAAATACAATAAAATTGAAGAGTAGTGTACATAATCAAAATATGAATTAATCCTAATTAATATTGGAAAACTCTTGTGCATGTCAACATGGTCAAAGGCATTAACCTTTTTTTTTGCTGTACAGCAGTCTCTTTCAGCCATCCACACAACTCTAAATGGGCAATTCTACTAGTCTTTGCTCTGTGATTGGTATGTGTCATACCTGGTACCAGCTGTATGCCCTGTCTGAAGGGTTGATCAGCAGAGTAAAGATTTTGGCTTTAGGCAAGAGAGCAGCGGCTCGTTTGGGCGTCTCCTCAGAAGGAAAGTAATTTGCGCTCTTCTCAAACAGGAAATCTGTGCTGACATTAGAGGGTACAGGAAAGAACTCCATGTACCTTTGAGAAGAGAGGTGTATCAAGTTAGAGAAAACTCACACAAAGACAAGTGCACACACAAGCATAGGTGTCATTTACAGTGGGACATTTTGCCATGGAAGATTCTGTCCTCACCACTTTATGAAAGGTGCTTGCGGCAGGAATATATCTAGGTCAATGACAAATAAGACTATCCAAGATAAAAAAAAGGGAAGATCTTTAAAAAATCTAGTTTAACCATCAAGTAAAACATTTCTCTTACACCTTGTGTATGGAGCCCTGCACAACATATTGTGTCCACAAATTAAGAATTTGTTCCCTAGTTTTACATAAATCATGGCCATGTTGTACTAATTTGTTCCTCAAGGGAACAAATTAGTAAAGTGTGGCCACATTTCACCTAAAATAAAGGAACAAATTAATTAAATGTGTCCATGAATTAATAAGTCATGGAAGTGAATTTGTAATTCATGGCATGCCATGTGTGTGGCTCTGTACATGTTAGTGTACTCTTTTATCATTAAAAAAAAAAAAATCCACATATTTTTCAAATTAAATGTATATATTTGTTAAACTATCAAATTATTTTAAGAGATATTAAAAAAAGAAAAAACTTTTTTAAACACCCAGTCATTCTCTCTATGATATAATTTTCTGCATGTGCAGGTAGCACTACTGTATATGATTTAATTTGGTCTATTAAAAATTCAAAATATTAATAATTAATAAACTTCTTGTAATTAGCAGGTTGCCACAAGACATTAAGACTAGACAAACAATTTATAATATAATAATAATTCATCAACTGACCTATAAAACCCTAAAATTGACAGTAGCAGATGAAGAAATTAAATTTTCGCCACAAAAAATATGCTACAAACATATTTAAAGGGGTGGTTGACTGGGTTTTTTCTAGGCTTGATACGGACCCGGGAAGTAACTCGTTGTAGTCCCTTACCAGTCGTTTTTGTAGGCATTAAACTGCCAGAATTTCAAAAGACGATATTTCCGTTTGCATTGAACTTTCAGCTTCGTAACTTTGCAGATATTGTTTATGCTCAAAAAGCAACATTACACACTAACTAACATTAAAAAAGTGAAATCGCAATCAACCACCCCTTTAAGCACTTAAATCTGAGAATAACTGCTCCTACAAATGACTGTGTAATAAGAATTTGAGAATAGCAATTCAGGCAGAAAGACATATTTAAATGATTTTTAAACATTTCAATTTGTAATAATATTGTTTATATTAAACGTTTGACTAGGAAAAGAAACAATACTCCAGATCTGTCTTCCAGATCAATACAATACATAGAGTATTTACCAAAACAGTGGAAGATCATGTTTAATTATTTGGGCTTGACCTATTTAATATTAATGAGCTATGCCTTAACCACTTACGTGATGTCATACCCATTGTTCCAAAATCATTTTAACAAGTGAAACCCACGCACAAATGTGTCTGGTGCACAGGAGCACACTTCACACCCACCAGTCAATGCCTTTGTGGTAGTTGTTGGTGTTGAAAAACTGAACTTCCTCGAATGTTTTCACACTGGGAAAGTTGCTGGAGATGAAGGGATGCATGATCAGGAAGAGGTAGAGCGCTGTCGTGCCTGGTGAGAGAGAGAGAGAGAGAAAGAAATAGATGAAGGGAGAAAGGAGGAGGGCAGGAGAGAAAGGAAGAAGGAGGAGAAGTAAATCAACGAGCCCTTCCCCTGCTAATGATGAAATTATATGTGCAGCTGATAGCGCTGAAGAGAAACATTTTAGGCCTGGAGATTCAGCCCACAGACCGAGAAACTAAGAGACATGGGATCAATACACCATTTACCTTATGGATTTTTTTTTCTGTGTGTATTGCGAGTTTGTGATACAGCAGGAAAGAAGATGAGTGCAGAGAGGAGAACTGTTTAACAAGACAGTGTCTTGACACCAATCAAAATCTTACAGCCCCAAAACAGCGCTCTGTCTTTTCCCTTGTTCTACCTCCCCAGCCCTCTGGGGATGTGTCTGTATTGTTCTCCTCTAGAGCTGAATGCCCGTGGTTGCACTTTCATCATTTCCAGCGGCACAAGGTGAGACATGAAGCAGGATCAAGGGGAACAGCGAAGCGAGGAGATACGCACGCACACACACACGGCTTTGAAGCCCTGCAAAAGGAAAGGCGGAAGAAACATGCTCTCGTAACGGCAGAACAGAATTACCTGTTTTCTGAGGCCCGACCACCATGAACTTGGGCAGCCTGTCGCAGGTCTTCTCTTTGGACCAGATGTCCTTATGCCGTTTATCATCGCATGGGTTCTGAAGAACAACATCGTAAATGAGATCAGGTGTAAAGTTCTATCAAATTAATACAGGATCTGTTAACAGAAGCACGGAGACAGTGGACGAGACAAGGTCTGCAGCTTGACGCCTACAGTATATGGAGATCTTCTTCAGATTTCATACGACAGATATTAATAGATATTCTAGAGCCCTATTCAGATGGTATTTGTTTTCAGGACATACAGTATGTGTTTAAAGTAATTTTTACTGCAGACATTTGCATGTGTCATCAATTTGCACATGATGAGAAATTTATGTCGAAAACAGAACAATACAAAAATCACCTAAAATCTTTTTTAGTCCAATAACTATTATCAGGGCTCCAGACAATGACCGAATGGTCGCATTTTGAGACCATTTTTTCTGCCGGTGCGACTAATTTTTGTGAGCATTCGCACTGGCGCGACCACCGCGTCATGAGTTGAGTTGGTGGCGCGACCACCAACTCATAAGCACTGCCATTTCTGTTGCATTTGAGAAAAATCAAACGGCAAACGAAACGAAAGAGAAACTAAACCGTGCTACCGTTTATCAGCTCGGACCGCAATGCAAAAACAAACTTGCCCGAGCTCAGAACAGCTTTACTCGGGAGCCAAAGTTGATTTCGCGTCACTGTTACAGCACAGCGAGATCCAGTGAGAAGCGTTTGAATTCGCCGCACAATGATAACAAGCACTTTTCAATTACTTTGAAGCATTTCACACTATTTCCAGCACTTTAAAGCTCTAAAATGATCCAGTTTGAATGTTATTTTTAATGGGATGACCAAAATATACTTCGTGGTAAACAAACACTTATGTAAAATTAAAAAAACACATCAAATCACAATTATAACCAGTAGACGGCAGCAGAGGAGCACTTATTGGCTTATTAGTCATTCATTTCTACTTTTTCTCTATATTTTGAAATGATAAAATCACTATTATAAAATATCAAATCATCAAGAAATCAGATTTTGTCAGAATTGTACACTTTTTTGTGTATGAAGTGACTTGAAAAACAAACTTTTCTTCAATTTGTGACTAAATCACACATAATCACTGAAGTTGGTCAGTTCCATATACTAGAAGAATAATGGTACATTTAATAAAAGTAGAATATACATTTTCTATATAAAAATTAGATTTTGCACCTGTTACTGTTGTTAATAAAAGTAAATTTTGTATGCATCTTAATTCAAGGTTAATGCTTTACTGTCAAATCTGTATAAACAATAAACAAAAGAAAAATAATCAAAAAATGAACATGTAATGTTATTAGTAACTGCACTTATTAATGCAAAATAATGTAATTTTATGATTAAATTATCTATATTTGAATACTCCCACACACCACCCCCAGAGCTACCAAATCTGCTCCTGTCGCCACCATCTGTAGAACTTAGTGGCGCTGGTGCCACTGCTCTCAAATGTAAGTCTGGAGCCCTGTATTATGTAAACTGTACTAGCAAAGCTTTAACACCTATATGCTGCATCTTTTCAATATAAGACATAATTGGAGCAACCAAACAAAAATAAGCTACAATTGTGCAAAACCCCCATAAATTCAAGCGTTGTCCCTGTGAGAAGTTGTAAAGTGCATCTTTTCATTTTCTGGTGGCTTTTCATTGGTCAAAATTCACTTGAGACACATGGAGTGCTTGATGTACAACAGTTACAAGGCCTACAGGTCACAGAGAGTGGGCTTTTTATGTCAGTTTGCACAGAATTGCTTTTACCTGTGATCATTTCTTGAGGACATTTTATGTAAGGTAAAAGAGGCTGTAATTTTAAAAGTAATCATAAAATAAGCCTCAAATTATTAACTTGCATCCATAGAAATAAAATAAAATAAAATAAATAGGTTGGGAACTGTTTTGAACTGTTTTGAAAAGTAGTGACTTATTTTCACCATGAATGCATTTATTTCATATTGATTAAATAGTTTATGAAAATAGTTTGAGGATATGGTTCAAATGACTGACCTGCCATAGCGGGTGTCTCTGTTCTGGGAAGAGTGTGAAGTACTTGTGTGCGAGCTGCAGGGGAGGAAGTGTGTGCAGCCTCAGGTTGGTCCAGCATTTCAGGAAGTTAGCCAGATTAGTGAACGTATACAAGCCCAAGCGGTCGTTCCCATAGTTGGAAAGATGAGTCATAAATATACTGATCTACAGAGAGGAAGAAAAAAAGAAATTGAGTTTTCATTCGTTCATCATCAGTAAACAGCAGCCTCTGCTATTATAACATTTCCGCTAATATACTGAAATAAGTGAATGTGATGACCTTAGTTGTAACTCCCCAGTGTTTCCTGTAGGTAGCAGTATTGTGCATATTAATGTTCAGGTTTTAAACCTTTGCTCTTCCATTATACTAACACCTTTTCTCATAAAAGCTTTAGACGAGAGAGAAATAACCCACATTTGTCCATAAACGTGCGTTAGTTGCATTTGTGCATGATTTCATTTGTCAAAATGCATCGTAAATGGCCCAGCAGATGTTGAAGTGATGTTGATCATTTGGTTTGGTGGCAGTCTTTGATAAAGGCTAAATGTCGCTTAGCAACCCTATACACTGCACTGGGGTGTGCTGATTTCCTGCGTCTGGCCCTTTATGGGGCGGTTCAGAGCACCCCTGGGGCACATTCAATTACAGCAGGCCGATCAGCGGTCTTTCATATGAGGTAAGCCCAGCGGATGCATCCACTTCATGTGGAGTGAAGCTGTAATTCTGATGTAATCCACTAGAGTAAGGTCACTCGCGGACAGTGTCTGTGGAGATTAGGATCAATACAATTAACAAGGGTCATTTGTGGAGATTTGATTCAATGAGAGAAGAGAAAAGATGAGAGGAGTGAGGAGGGAAAGACAGGAGAAAAAAGAAGAGCGACGAAGTTTTATTGGGTCTCTATGCTTGACTGGTTTAGTAGGTTGCATTGCGAGAGGAGAGGAGAGGGAATATGTGGCCTAGTTTAAAACAGACAATCCCGGTAATGCCAGGCAGGGCTGACGCTAAAATTCTCCTGAACCAGGACAAAGTTTTTATGGGTGGGCCCACACTCGTCCAGGTGCAATGAGTAGTGCTATGAGATAGGGGCCCTTAGGGGCCTCCCCTCGTCACAGGTTCCGGGACAGCATTCCCAGATGTCCCTCCTCAATGACTCTTTGAAGCTAGGCATCCTTCGCTTCTACAATAAAATCTCATATAAACCTTAAAGATAGACTTATAATTGATTTATATATTTTTACTTTTATATCTGGTCTTTTATATCAGATTCTCCCATATCGGCCTATAAAGAATGGTACCCAATAATGCCATAAAACATTGTGAATTAAACAAGAAACAATGGTGCTCACAAGGAAAACAATGCTGCATAATGCCATTAATAATAACAATAATAATGTATACACTACCGTTCAAAAGTCTGGGGTTAGTAAGATTTCTTTTAAAGAAATTAATAATCTTACAAAGAAATGATGCATTAAATTGATCAAAAGGGACAATAAAGATCTTTATATTCAACATGAAATCCTGATTTTTTTTTATCACGGTTTCCACAAAAATATTCAGCACAACTGCTTTCAACACTAAAAAATAAGATAAGATAAAAATAATGTTAATAAAGGAAAACAATAAGAAATGTTTATTCAGCACCCTATCATCATATTAGAATGATTTCTGAAGGATCATATGGCACTGAAGACTGGAGAAATTATGCTGAAAATTCAGTTTTTCCATCACAGAAATAAATTACATTTTAAAATATATTGAAATAGACAATTATTGTAAATTGTAATATTTCACAATATGACTGTATATTTGATAAAAAACAATGCAACCTTGAGCATAAGAGAAAATATCATCATCCCCAAACATTTGAATGGTAATGAATACAGTACATAATAATAATAGCAACAGATAGCAAAACAACTACATAAAAGTAAAGTGCAATATGAAATAAATGTAAACAATTATTATTACCATATTATTATATACTGTATATAAAGATATTATGTCTTTATCTTTGCAATGATAATTTTCTTTTTATTTTGTCAAAAAGGAGAAATAGAAATGAAAAAATGGTTCTGTATTTTTATTACAAGCAGAAAATCAATATTAGTAATGGTTGTTAAACAAAAAATAATGTTTAATAAACACACAGGTACATGAACCAGCAAAAGGCAGCAGAAGTCAGTCAGAAGCTGCACAAGCTGTACAGCCAACTACGCATCCACATGTTTTAGCAGAACTTTACCCCTGACATCAATTCATTTTCCATATAACTCTTACATTTATCTAGAAATAAGATCTGCTATATTATATAACTGTTTATTAAATTGAAGGTAAAAGAGAAGACAATGATCCATTAGAACACACTGTCTCCTGTAGACTAAAAGTGTTTTATAATCAGCCAGGATCTGGTTGGAGCGTGTAATGGACTCTGTATCAGGGCCTAAGTGCCGCTCCCTCAGAAGGCTGCCGTGGATGTGTTGGAGGCACGGAAATGGCAGCAGGCTTTGATTGATGGATGGGATGCTAGGTGACCGTGAGCAGGGTGGGGAATATTTATGGGATAATGAGACAAGTTTAGCAGCTTCTGTCACACTGGCATGCTTTATGCCGGACCGGTGTAACACACACACTCTATCGTACACACTCGCAGCCACCAAATTCAATTTAACCCTCACGGGAAAACGAATGGGACCCGTGATATTAAAAAGATGTCAAGCATTATAAAGTATTTTGGTGGGATTGTGGTGAATGTTAGCCTTCGCTCCACACACATAAGAACACAGGCTTTTCCCATATGTACAACATCAATCTGACCACTGAACAAGTTCTGCTGTACCACAAACAGACTGATCAAGATATGATTTATGCTGCGCTTTCAGCAATCAATAACAAACACACACATAAGCTTTGTAAAATAGACACCAGAATCCAACAACCCCTACACATACACACAGCCATAGGTCGTATTATTCATTTTACCTTGCGCTAGCAGCCAGGGCAAAGAAAGAGAGCAAGCAAAAAGTGAAAAAAAAAAAATAGCGTCCTTAAAGGATCTCAGGTTCAAAGGCATCTATCCTGCTTGTCCAACACACACTTGAGAATGCCAGCACAAGCCACCATTTTAACAGCTAAATTCGGACTACCTATTGAACATGCACACACAAACACAAACACACAGCGAGAGGATCTAAAGGGTTCCAAACAGATGTTCCTTCTGGAAGATGTTCAGGACCTGACAGAATTATAAATCACTAGCCTGGAAAAGACATGAAAATTTAACCAGCACACACACACACACAAACACACACACACACACACACACACACACACACACACACACAAACAAGGATGAGAGCCTCCAATTACCACTGCTCACCTTTCATTGTGACTATGAGCATTACAGGCTAGCGTTTCAGAAAGGTTACTTAAATTGGAATGTGAAGTTCACACAAGGGGCATAATAACTACTAGTTATTGTAACTACAGTTTGCTTGCATCATTTGTTCTTAAAGCAAGAATTAAGCTTTCTGTAATGTGAAGTCACTTAACTGGATGTTTACATTCATTAATTCAACAAACATCTTGTTGTAACTGATGTTTCAAACTTCTTTTGTCTTATGTTGACAGTCAGTGGCAGCAAAATTACATTTCCATAGTGTTTAAACAGAAGAACAGGAAATACAATGCATAAATTATTAATAAATTTAAATCAACTTAATCTAAAATTAATAAGTGGCAATAAGTAATAAAAACTAATAAAATGTAAAAAAAATAATAGTATATTTATATATGTATATAACAAATATTAAACAACTCCATCTAAAATTAGTAAGTGGCAATAAATTAAAAAACAATATATTTTTAAATTTCTTTAATTGATCTATTAATTTATTACGATCACATATTATTAATAATTATATTATTATATTATATAATTATAAAATTATATTATAATCTTTTAATATAACTCTTATTATATTGATAATTTTATTCCTACCGTTACTTCTGGGATAATTACTTTATATTTGGGATTACGTTTCAGTTAAAGCCAGATTCATGCTATACAATTCTGGCCACGATTTTATCTGTCTGTGGCAAATTTTGATCCACCAACGGCTGGTTAATTGCCTGCAATAAATATAAGTTTAATGGTGCAACACACAAATACTCAGTAACCAGGCTAAGTTGTAACATACAGCTTGTGCCCTTGGACAATCAAACTAACAAACAAACACAAACCCAGACACAGCGTAAGAGCAGGAAAAGTCATACTTTTCTCCATTCCTCTATAGGCAACAATCAATTTGACTAGAAAAACTACAATTCTTATTCTATAAATTGCTGGTTCGAGTCCATCTTGATATTAATTAACCAGTTTTAATGTTGTATCATACTGCAGTTTTATCAGTATAAATGTATATTCTATTCTATTCTAGTCTACATATACAGTACACCTGCAAAATCCAACTTGATTTTCTGTTCTGTGTAGTATTAATCCTGACCTACTTGTTCAGATTGGTGCTACATGATTATCACATGTACTTATAATGACTTGGCCTGACCATGGCATTTACACACACACACACAGTCCCCATAACGTGATAAATACCAGGTACACACGCATACACACACACACACACACACACACACACACACACACACACACACACATTTTCTCTGCCAACATATAATATTAAAGTAACAGTTCACCCAAAACTGTTACAAAACTGTTAACTGCTGCAACCATATTTCTGAGAACACTGAGTCAGTGAGCTGAACTGGAGAATTCTCCAGAAGTCAGTCTGATTCATGATTGAGGGTCCTATTTTAACGATCTAAGCGCATGGTCTAAAGCGCATGGCGCAGGTGCACTAAGGGCGTGTCCGAATCCACTTTTGCTAGTTTAATGACGGGAAAACGGTTGGCGCGCCCGGGCAAATGGTCTAAAGGGGTTGGTCTAAAGCGCACGGCGCAATTGCGCTTATTGTGTGTCCGAATCCACTTTTGCTAGTTTAAGGACGGGAAAAATGGCCGGCGCGCTGGGCCCATGGCCTAAAAGGTTTGTCCCTATTCTCTTAATAAGTAATGGTATTCTCTCAATGAGTAATGGGTGTGTTTTGGGCGTAACGTGCCATAAACCAATCAGAGTCTCATCTCC